ATGGTATCTCTTTACAGCAATAGAAGCCCTGAGACACTGATGTTAGGCAGACATAGGCATGTCCTGGCAAGAGAGGTCTTGAGGATGACAAATGAGAAAGTTCACCATGAGAAAATAGTTATTGATCTGATCAAGAGGTTCACAAAGGGGTCCCTGGGGGGAAAAACATACAAATGGAGGTGCTGAGTTAGCCTGCGGAGGAAAAGGGCGAGGCACTTTCTCCAGAGAGGCCTCTTGGAGGTCTGGTGTGACCGGGCCTTCCAGTCAGGGAACAGCCTGGGCACAGGCGTGTGGGAGGCTGGAGCAGCAGGCGTGTGGGGAGCTTGATGAAAGATGAAGCTGTCACGGCAGAGTGCCGAGTGTAACCCTAAAGCGCCATCGCGGTGGAAGCCAGGAAGATGCTGAGTGATAAGGTGGGGCCTTTGCTTAGAAGGAGCGCTCTGGCTGTGGGGTGAGGTGGACATTTGCGGCCGCAGAGGGTAGACGTGGAACTGTAGGTGTCCAGGGAGCCTTGCACGCTAATGACCCTAACAGTGTGGTCACGATAGAGAGGAGGTGATGGGTTCCCAAGGGAACCAGCTGTCAGTGTCGTTTGTTTGACTGTGGAAGCAAGGGAGACAAGGCTACCAGGGACGTCCATCTCTGCCTCAGGTGACCCGGTGCATGGCCATGCCATGTGCTGAGGAAAGGGAGAGCTTCTTTGAGGAGACTGCCAAGTTGGAAGGAGAATAGAAACCTATTTGTGGAGACATGTGCTTGGAATGACATGTTTTTCTATTGATTTTGGAATCTGAGATCCTTTCCATGAAAGGAAATAGCATCCTCAGGACTCTGAGGGATGCCCACACAAGGTACTGGCAAAGAGACCCTGGCCTGGCCCAGGAAGAATGAGTGAGGGTAACACTGCCCTTCCAGGAGCGGCTGTCTCGGGGTCCGTTTGCCTGAAGAAAGGAGCACCTGTACTAGATTTTTCTAGTAGCGTTTCCGACCCCCCTACCAGTATCAAGGTCATCTGACCTGCATTCATTATGCCCCTCAACCTCCAGTTCCCAGCTAGAATCCACCAGCAGGGGACATTTGCAGGGGACTGGAGGGGAGTGTGTTTGTTCTCTTCCTTCCGGCTGGCTTGACAGCTCCTTTTAAGGAGAGACAAAGCTCCCACAGCTACAGTTCCTCTTGGGGTTCAAGAGAGTTGTCTCCTCGTGTCTCTTGGGTGTGGAGAGCTGTGGTGATGACCCCTCACTGTTTCTGGCCTCGAGTTTCTGCCATTCCTCATGGGTTTCTCAAAACACTGTCACCTCTGCGATGGGAGTATCTCTTACCCTGACCTCAGCCATTCAGCATGGGTGTGCCCCATTTCCTGTCAGAACAAGATCACTATTCCAGCCAGCACTAGCCCCTGTCCTCAGCCACTTAGATGCATGTCTGCTATGGGGAAGCCAGTTTTCAGTTCTCATGAAGGTGCTTTTCATTTGAGCAACCTGGGGCTACAGACTATATAATTTGGGCACCTTCACCACCCAGAAAATGCAGACTGGCTTCTGAGTCTGGCACAGAGGCTTGGCTGGGAAGGAAGAAAGTGTGAAGGAGACGCCAGAGCCAGCAAACCCTGCAGAGAAGACCCAGGACCAGCAATAGAGGCACCTTTCCTTGTGGGCTTGTTTGGAAATTGGAAATCCAACAGCAGCATGGTGGAGTCAGGACAAATGGACAGATGTCAGTGCTGATTACTAGAATGGGCTTCTCTCCTTTAGTCCTTCCCTTTCAGGTCCAAATGCCCACACCTCCCTTCCCTTTGAGCCACATGAAACTCCTCATCTTTAGCCCAAAAACTGAGTACAACAGCACATCTCCCTTAAAATCTCAAGTAAACAAGGTGTCAGGGAAGCCATTGACTCCTCCATGGTACACAAGTAGAAAAGTAATAGTTTAAGTGTGCACACCTAGCTATTCAAACCTAATTTGCTGTTTAGTCACCTTTTTACTCACTCAACAAATATCTCTCAAGTACTGGGACTTCATCATTTGTCTCTCTTCCTCAAGGAGGAGGGATGAAGCAAGGATACATGCCGTCGACTGATGCACAGATAGAGGAATGGAAGTCAGTAAAGCACAGGTAGGAGACAGGTGAGATGGCCCGGTCAGCCTGCCTCAGCCAAGCCCCCTCAGGCAGGCCACGCTCTCAACTCCCAGTCACACACACTGTGCAAACGGGGGCCAGCAGCTTCACAGTCCCGATGTTTGCCCCTCTGCAAGTATGAAAGCCCCGTGATGGGGGAAGTCCTTCTGTGTATATGTTTCTCTTATTGGTTGGTAAATAAAGCACTGTTGGCCAATAGGGAATCAAGACAGGTGGGACTGGGAGTCGAGGAGGATTCTGGGAAATGTAGTCAAGAGTAGGGAGTCATCATGTGATCCCAGGAGGAGAAGACACAAGTCTGGCGTTCTCGGTAAGATATGACCTTATAAAAATACATACATATTAGTAATAATGGGCTAATACTTAAGACAGAACTAGCCAACGAGAAGCCCTGGACATTAGCCGACAGCATTGTAACTAATAGAGTCTCTGTGTGTTATTTGGGGTTGATGCGGCTCTGGGACCAGGCTGGCAGGAAGAATGCTTGTTACAGCCCCAGGTCTTGGCAAACATGAAGCAAAGGTGAGAGGAGCCATAGAGCCGGTCAGCCTGCTCCCTGGAGCTTCTGCCCTTGGTGACGAGGAGCCTGGTCTTCCACCAAGAGCGAGTTCTGTCTTTCTCTGTCCCAGTTGGAGTTGCTGAGGGGTAGGGCACCATTAAGGGGGGGCTCTAGAATTCCCAATTCACACTCTGCATATGTGAAACCTTCATACTAGGAAGTTACTGGCTTTCAAGCAGCATGCATGAAATTAAGTTTAGAAGAATCGTTGCAGGACTTTTCATCATGGGGAAATTTCAGTGACCAAATTCGTTTACTGATTGAAAAGCTGACACAGAGTGAGAGCAGCCAGGGCCCTGGTGCATCTGTCCCTGCCGGTGCATCTCCCACAAAGGACCTCCAATCCTGAGAGCCTGGGGAGCAGCAAGGCTCTGGGATGATCTAAGTTAAATGATCTAATTCACTCACACTTCTGATATCTTTGTCAAATGGTGGGACATTAACCTCTTCCTCACCTCTCCAGGAGAAAGGGAGGCCACAGAGGGCAGCCACAGAGGGCGGCCACAGAGGGCAGCCACAGAGGGCAGACACAGAGTGCAGCCACAGAGAGAAGCCACAGAGGGCGGGCACAGAGGGCGGACACAGAGTGTGGCCACAGAGGGCGGCCACAGAGAGAAGCCACAGAGGGTGGACACAGAGGGCGGCCACAGAGTGTGGCCACAGAGGGTGGACACAGAGGGCGGCCACAGAGGGTGGACACAGAGAGAAGCCACAGAGGGTGGACACAGAGGGTGGACACAGAGGGCGGCCACAGAGTGCAGACACAGAAGGTGGACACAGAGGGCGGCCACAGAGTGTGGCCACAGAGGGTGGACACAGAGTGCGGCCACAGAGTGCGGCCACAGAGGGTGGACACAGAGAGAAGCCACAGAGGGCGGCCACAGAGGGCGGCCACAGAGAGAAGCCACAGAGGGACACAGAGGGCAGACACAGAGGGCAGCCACAGAGGGTGGCCACAGAGAGAAGCCACAGAGGGACACAGAGGGCAGACACAGAGGGCGGCCACAGAGGGTGGACACAGAGGGCGGCCACAGAGAGAAGCCACAGAGGGCAGACACAGAGGGCAGCCACAGAGGGTGGACACAGAGGGCAGACACAGAGGGCGGCCACAGAGAGAAGCCACAGAGGGTGGACACAGAGGGCAGACACAGAGAACAGACAGAGAGCTTTCCAGTCTTGTCTTCTTTTCACTCACCTATGCACAGGCCTGCCTTTTAAATTCTCCTCTGGCTGTCCCTTCTGCCTCTTTATTCATGAATTCGCTCCATTATTAATTCATGACTTTGCTTCTGGGGTGCAGAGTGAAGCTAGCTGTGACTCCCCCTTCTCTGGTGAGATATAAATAGGAGGTTGGGGATGCAGGATCATGTGTGGGGGAACCTTCCATAAAACTTCATACCAGAGTGATGAAGCCTCCTAGGAAGGGCAGGAATTGGGGGCACTAGGTGTCATGGTGATGGCCAGCATCAGGGTGGAGGAGGGCTGGCCCTGATGGAACTTGGGAAATGGCATAACGCCTGTCACGCTGCTGATGTTTTCACCCAGTTCCCAGAGACCTGTACTTAAACGATGAGGTGAATTTGTTATATTAAACAAGTATTCATGGAAACAGTGTATTACTAGAACACCCCAGACTGCAGATGGTATCTGCTGTTGTGTGATGTACTTTTTATTCTTTTGGCTTTTGGGGGTCCACCACCCAGCTCCCAAATAAATTACATGTGGGGGTTTATTTTAGTTATAAATGCCCGGGACTTAGCTTGGCTTGTTTCTTGCCAGCTTTTCTTAACTTACATTATCGTGTCTACCGTTTGCCTCTGGGCTTTTCCTTTTCTTAGTTCTGTACATCTTTCACTCTTACCCTGTGGCTGGCTATGTGGACGGGTAGCTGACCCGTCATCCTCCCTCCCTGGTCTCTTCCTCCTCCCTTCCTCATTTCTCCTCATATTTATTCTCTCTGCCTTCCATCCCTCCCTGTCCTTCCTCTTGCCTCGATGTTGGCCACTCAGAGCTTTATTAGGCCATCAGGTGTTTTAGACAGGCAAAGAATCACAACAAATGCAGCATAAGCAAAAGCCGCACCCCTTCAAATAATATTCTACCACAATCAGCCCCAGAAGCTCGACCAGGATTGGTGTACTTGGCACTGGGCAGGTACAACTTTGGCATAGGCAGGGGTGTGCACAAGTGTGGGGCCATGCTTTCAAAGTGACGCTTTGGGTGTCAGTGGCAGTGGAGACAGATGCTCTGTGAGAAGCAGGTGAAGGGGAAGGCCGCAGGCGGAGCCACGGCAGCAGGGGAGGAGGCGGTGCAGTCTGGTATGCTCTGTTTGTCAGTATCTCTGCAGAACCCCTGGCTTCCGGGGTGAAGCTGTGCAGAGCTGTGTGATTGAAGCTGCCAGACAGGCTTTCGGTAAGTCCAGAGAACAGTGGTTTGTGATTTTCACAAAGATCTTGCCTCACAATGGACAACTGTTCTGGGAGAGCACGGGCTTTACTTGGGCCTTTAAGCCTAACAGGGTTCCAAGAGGAATTTACAAACAACTGGAATGGAGCCAACATTTTCAAAGAGAGAGAAGGAGGAGGAGGAGGAGGAGGAGGAGGAGGAGGAGGAGGAGGCAGTGGTGGTAAATCAAGGAGTAAAGGCTGAGGTGAGGACAGAGGAAGCAGCTGTGCTAGAAAATGCAGTCAAGCAAATGTCCTTGTTTTCTCAGAAACCAATCTCCTTAGAACTCGGACCCTGGAATACAATCTGAACACAATACAATATCTGAATGAGAATAAAAGCCAGTGATTTGGGTGAAGTTCAGACATTTTCAGTGTATTACTGCATCCAAGCAAGAAGGCTATATGGCATTTGAGGTTATAGGTTAGACAGCTACAAGAAGTCATTCTCCTTTACCTAAATCTTCTGTAGGAAAATTCTGCTTGTTGGCTCTCTGTCCCAGATGCCATGAGCAGCTCTGAAGAGCAGCAGGACAGGTGCCAGGCTGGGAATCAGGCAGAGAAGGCGGAGAGGCACAGAGATGGGGGGGGGGGACCTCCAGCAGGTAAGGAACTGAGTATGGCTGTGTTCTACACAGCGACACCTAGGCGTGGGGAACAGGGTCATTAGTTCTCAATCATCTCTCCACAGGCCTCTGACTGACCACAGGCCCAGCATGCTAACTCACCCCGACTTACAGACACCTGAAGACAGGAAGTTCATCCAGGCTTGAGAAACTCTTCTTGCATGCATGTCTCAGTGTGAAGGTTAAATGGGCTGATCATCTCATGTTAGTGCAAAGCCAATAAAAAGTGATCATCTGATAACTAAATGTGAATGAAAAATAAGATGTGGCCCTCTGAATATATAACATACAGCATGATAGTGAATGTCTGAAGGGACAAAAATAGTTCTTTATGCTTATCCCTTCTGGTTTTCATAAGCACAAAGTAAAAAGCAAGAGACACTGGAACTAGACAGATCCCACTGCTAGGTGCCGCAGTTAGGATGTTCAGTGCTTGACTGAAAGAAGACCTGGTCTGGCCTGGGAAAGCCAGGTGCAGCCCCACCCCGAGACACCCTCATAATCCCACACAGAGCCCTAACCTCTTCCTGCTCTGTAAAGTCCTCTCCAGCCCCTTCACAAGCTCAGCTGCTGTAATTAAACATCTCTAAGAATTACCAAAATGCTCTAGGGGTTCCTGGAGCTGGAGCCAGAATTGTTACAAAGGAAACAGAACAGAGACCAATGAGGACAGCAAGACATAACAGGGCATTTAGGCCAAATTGCAAGGAAGGCTTGGGGGTCAGAGGTCAGCGCATGCCTTTGTGAGACTGCGAGGGAAAACGGGCAAGGATAGAGAAGACGATGGAGCATCCCATGTGTGCTCTGCTGGTTCCGTGTCCACACACAGGGGTCCTCAAAGTGGGAGGGTTAATCCCAGGACCGTGCAGAGGACGAACCTTCAGATACTCACATCCCTCATGTCAAAGACCTACAGCTGTCCTCCCGCAGAACTTACGCCGTCTCAGATTCCTTTTCATCCTCCCTCAAGCAGTGTAAATGCTATGACAATAGTTGTAATCTATATTGTTCAGAAATTATGGCAGGAAAAGATTAAAGACACATCTTTAGCCAGGGCAGACTACAATTAAAACAAATGAGAAAAAAACCCTTTCTCGTCCATGGGAGGTTGGATCGAGGATGCAGAATCAGTGAACACAAAACCAAACCGAGTAACCTTTTTTTATTCTATAAAAGCTTTCTAGAGATATATCTTACTTCCTAGTTCTGTTTTACAAGGAAGGAAACTAGGAATTACATGATGCAGTTGATTTATCCAAGGTGACCTGAACAGTAACCACACGCTTCAAACACAGACATTTGAGAGCACCAATTTCCATGCCCATCCTGTTTCAAAAAAAATGCACAAGTACCTGTAGGCACTCTAAGATTTTATGATGTTATTTTTAGTGTGTGTGTGTGTGTGTGTGTGTGTGTGTGTGTGTGTGTGTAGAGTCAACTGAGCCCAGAGGAGAAGATTCTCTAGAGTTGGAATCACAGTTGTGAGCCGCCTGACAGGGATGGTAGGAACTGGACTCTCCAAGAGCAGTAGGAACACTTAACCACTGAGCCACCTCTCCAGCCCCAACTGAAATTTCCTGGTTCTGTTCTCAGTATTGTGCAGATATTAACTCAATTAATATTCATATCAACCCTGGGAAAGTAGCAGTGTTATTGCTGTTAGCAGATGAGAAGTTGGACAGACAGTTACTGCCCAAGGTCAGAGCCAGCTGCCCGGCTAAGAGCCAACTCTTACCATCATCCTTCTATTAATGGAAGGTCCGTTACTAAGTTCTCATTCCTTGCCAGGAACTGCTGGTACTCTTTGGAGTGCATTGGATCAACTCGGTCAGTTCACGAGGGCTGGGAGAGGGGAGGGAGGGAGTGTGTAGACATATCAGTAATATAATATGGTGGCTCAGGTCCAAGTGCAGGCTCTAAGCCAAGCCCTGTTTTATCAGCCTCATGACCTTGGCTAAGTCATTGAGCCTCTCAGTGGCCATTTCTTCATCTGTAAAAAAGAAATCATGATTGCAGAGCTTGAGAGGGTTACAGTAGAGACCCCTCTGCCTGCACATGCTGTTGGCCAGGGATCCTTTTCAATGATGTTTGTTGAGATGGGCTTTGCTTTCGGTACTGGGATACGGATGTGGCCTGATGGAGTTCTGCAGCTGTCTCCCTGAACCTCTCATTAGTGAACATTATTTTCCCAGAGCTCTACTAGCTTCTTGGAGAGCAATCACTTGGTCAGGTAGGTATCAGAGAGATGCTTGACACTCAGATAAGAAAAGAAAAAAATCAATTACTAGGCTGCAAGATGACAGAGAACCCTTTTCACATGAGGTCAGCTTCGTTAGGAGCTCAGAGCCTCTAGTGTTTAGCAACCCGTTACAGGCCAAGGCTGCTGGGCATGGCAAGAAATAACAAATGAATCTATAATGCCAAGACGACTGCAAAGCCACGAGGCCAAGGGTTGTGACTGAGCAGTCCTCCCAGGCTCAGGAGGCTAACGAGGAGGAAGCTGACAAACTGTGGGCTGGGGTACCAAGTCTTACGCTTGCTCACCACTCTCTGTGGTGGCTTGGATGAAAATGGATCCCATAGGTTCATAGGGAGTGACACTATTAGGATGTGTGGCCTTGGTGGAGCAGGTATGGCCTTGCTGGAAGAGTGTGTCACTGGGGGCAGGCTTTGACATCAGACACAGTGTTTCTCTCTGCTCCTGCTCCTGAGGGTCCAGATGTAGAACTCTCAGTTACCTCTCCAGCACCATGTCTGCCTGCATGCTGCCATGCTTCCCACCATGATGATAATGGACTAAACCTCTGAACTGTAAGCCAGCCCCAATTGAATGCTTTCCGCTATAAGAGTTGCTGTGGTCATGGTGCCTCTTCAGAGCAAGAGAACAAACTGTTCTCAGGGACAAGCAGCTGGCAGCTTGCGTTGCTGATGCCTCCTATTGGAAAACATTAAGATTGGGCGCAGGGCCAGGGCTTCTGTTAGGCTTTTCAAGGACACAAAACCAGTGCTAAGAATTCACTAGATGTGGTCAGAAACAGATCCCAGGGGTCGAAAGCATGTGGGCAAGTGCTGGTCTGTGTGATCAGCATCCTCATACCAGGAGGCACAGCTGCTGAGGTAACGTCCTGCAGGAGCAGAGGACAAGGCTGAGTGGGACAGCGGCCTCCACGCCTCGGGTCTTGTGCACTGCCTCACAACCATACGCTGAGCAGACCCATCCCCGAGCAGACCCATCCCTGAGCAGACCCATCCCCGAGCAGACCCATCCCCGAGCAGACATCCCGAGCAGACATCCCCGAGCAGACCCATCCCTGAGCAGACATCCCTGAGCAGAAACCCATCCCCGAGCAGACCCATCCCCGAGCAGACCCATCCCTGAGAAGACCCATCCCTGAGCAGACCCATCCCCGAGCAGACCCATCCCCGAGCAGACCCATCCCTGAGCAGACATCCCTGAGCAGACCCATCCCTGAGCAGACCCATCCCCGAGCAGACCCATCCCCGAGCAGACCCATCCCCGAGCAGACCCATCCCCGAGCAGACCCATCCCCGAGCAGACCCATCCCTGAGCAGACATCCCTGAGCAGACCCATCCCTGAGCAGACCCATCCCCGAGCAGACCCATCCCCGAGCAGACCCATCCCTGAGAAAACCCATCCCTGAGCAGACCCATACGTGAGCAGGCCTTTGTATACATGATTTCCTTTGCTCAGAAGTGTCCCAGGTATCTTAAAACAACAGCTATGGCCCAGGGATGGCAACAGAATCACCCAGATCGACAGAGCAAGGCAACCGCTCTGAGGAGGTGGCTGGCGTGACCGCGTGACACGTGCTGGAGCATGTAGGAAGGTATATTTCCCTTTACCAGAGAACACGGGAGCCACTGAAGGGCTCGGCATGCCAGGCTTGCCATGTGAAGGTTTATTCTGGCAGCTGACTGGAGAATGCAATGCAGGGAATAAGTTGTGAATCCGATGTGTGGACCAGGTGAGGGAGAGAAGGTGATGGACTGAGGTGAGTGGGCTTTAAAAATATTTTTAAAAGAAATATTTTTAAAAGAAAAGGTTTGGTTACAGCCTCTGTCACGCCCCTGCACGGAAGCCCCATTCCTGTCTCCCTCACTCTCTCTCCAACCACCCTTCTTCAGAGTCTCTGTTCCAAATTCCTGAGTCTGCTGCAGCCTCCTCCCCTGAAGTTGCCAGTGGCCCAAGTCCCCGCCCCACACTTGGACACAAGCTCAGTTTGTGGTGGACATGTCATCATCCCTCACCTACAGCCTGTGTGGTCTCCCTGCTTCAGTTCAGGCTTGCAGCTTCTCTGGGCTCGATCTCTGGTCCTGGAGAACCTGCCTGGGGACTGCTTTCCTCAATATGCCTGTTGCTATAATTTTTCAGTTTGGCTTCATCTGACTTACAGCATCAGTGAAGACATTTATGGGGGTGGTGGGTTAGAAAACCAGTTAGAAAGGTCTCCTCTCGTGTGATGGGGCTCTGACAAATGTTGCATCTTCTTTTCACCAACTTTTCCAGAGACTGGAATAGATTTCAAAGCCACACAGTAGAGAGACAGGAAGAAGCCCAAGTCCTACAATCATCAAAGAGCAAACTGTACAGGTCCCTGGAATTCTGAGAAAAACTTGATATTTTATTTGAAAATTTCAGAAGTACAGTCTAGAATACAAGCAACTAAAACTGAGAAAACTGAAACCTTGCAAAGCAATCAGCCCAGACATTCCAAAAGCCATAACAGCTTCCAGATCTTTCCCCTGTCAAGAATTCCTAGAGCAGATCCTCAGGAGCCTTGAACACAAGCTGCAAATCCATAGAAGACACGCCCATCCCTTCCTGTCCATAAGATCTGTTGTTGTCTGAATACCCTGTGCGGTCAGCACTGAACCATCTAGGTCAACGTCAATTGAACTGGCAGTAATCACGGATTTATGAGGAAAAAGCAGGAAGATCAAATGGACTTGGCGGAGGGTCTAGTGAGTGAGGAAACTCACAGTCAATCAGAGCCAGGTGTCAATGTGCATGTACAGAGCCCTTCCTGGAAAGCAGGGAGGAGAATGCTTAGCCCTGGAGCCAAGAAGGGCTTCCTTGAGGAGCCAGAATACCCAGATGCAGAGGCACACATGAGCACAGGCATTTTTCAGGGGGCTGGGAATTTATAAGACTGTTATCTAGATAATTCGGGTTCCACAACAGAGGTTGGGGCCCCTCAGCAGCTCCTCAATCTCAGCCG